TGCTGCTGTTGCTTCTGCTTCTGCTGCTGCTGCTGCTGCTGCTGCTCCGCTCTTGCTGCTGTTGCGGCTGTTGCTTCTGCTTCTGCTGCTGTTGCTGCTGCTGCTGCTGCTGCGCTGGTCTTCTTGGTGGTGGTGGTTGTTGGTTAGTTATTTCAGCTAGCGAGTGATGAGGAACGCTGGATGGCATGCTGATCCATGACTCAATGACGGAACCGCTGCAGGATGCAGACAATTCTGGCCGAGTTTCATACAAGGAGTGGACGCCAAACTCTCAGCCGCCTAGACCTGGACCCGTTGATAAACCACCCAGAGAAACTGCTTCTTGCTGGTGCAACATCAAGGGGTCATGTTGCTCGAACTTGATCACGATATTGCCTCCATCTGCTCAGGAACGGCATGTACCGGCTGCGACTCGACACATGGCCGGTGATCTCCGACATGGAGCAAGGAGCAGCATGGGCCCTGGCAGCGCAGCTGGCTGGGGCTGTTGGTGCAGCGAGAGTCCGAGAGGACCGCTCCACTTCCGATAGTGCGACGAAGAAATCCAGCACTCCAGGTAGTTGACAAGATCGGTGCAGCTGCCTCGAAGTGGATTGGAAAGGTTTGCTGGTACAAGGCTGGAAGATGTGTGAGCGTAATTTCCAAGAACAGTGCTGGCCGAAGTGGAGAATGTGAGAGGATACCAGCAGCATGCCCAAGTTGCTTTGGAGCAGGTTTTCAAGCTGGTAGATGTGGACGGATCAGGCGAGATAGGCCGCTAACCTGCAAGTAGTCAGTTCAAAGCCGATCGATGTTTTGTAAATGCAGTGTGTCGCGAATAAGGCCCGAGGGAAGCTTGACACACAAGAGTCAGAGCGCCAACCCTTTCGCAGCGCAGGTTTCGATGAATTCTTTCGAATTATCCGCCGTCCGAGCCTCACCGAGCTCGCCTTCTACAGTGTACAGGGACCAGTGATGGATTCTGAGACCAGGTCCACTGCCATGCCTGGCAATCACCACCAAGGAAATTTCCAATCCTGAGCTCAAGGTCGGGTAGCATCGCAGCAGTTGGGCCTAACTGTGTAATTCAATTCTGCAACTCGCTTTTCCTGCGACAGTCTTGCCGATGTCTTAGTGCCTTCGCGTTTGTTGGCAGGGCTTGTGGAAGGCAATGGACCAAGACATGCCAGCAGCTCAGGGCCAGTCTGAGCTGAGGCGTACCGACCATGTCGAAAGATTTGCCCATCCAGAGCTGCACACAAGGTCTGGGGCGATAAGTGTCCAGGAATTTATGATCTTCATGCGGCGGCTGGAGGTTGACATGGGGAAGCCATGAAGCCATCAATGCCGCTGGGGATTGACAGATGCGCCCGAAGGTCCGCCGTGGCTTTGCGAGATGGCGGCCGCAGGTAATGCAAGGTGCCGCGTGTTGATGATGCCGGCTGCAAGGCAAGCCGTTTATGCACAGTTGCACGGCCAGGCACACCCGTGGCCAAGGCAGCCGTGGCGGCCGAAGTGGCGGCGCGCGCCAAGGCACGTCTATCTATCTATCTATCTCTCTCGCTCTCTCTCGCTCGCTTTATATATATATATAGATATGTATATCTATATATGTGTATATATATATACATATAGTACACACACACACATATATATATATAGATGTGGCAAGGACCTGCGTGGTCTATTTGGAAAATGCCCTTTTGGAATGAATATGGATAAGAAAACGAATCTTTCGGTTATTGGGATGTATGAGAAAGATAAAAAACAAAATAAAACAAACCAAAAACAAAAATTCAAACAGGCAAATCAGGCCATCAGTCCCAAAAACAAATGAACAAGAAATACACAAACACAACAAGCAAAATAAACACAGCACAACAAACAGCAAGACAATGTGCACAAACCCCTGCAGCCAGGCAGTAGTTAGTAGTAGTAGTAGTAGTAGTAGTAGTAGTGGTAGTAGTAGTAGTAGTAGTAGTAGTCGTAGTAGCAGCAGCAGCAGCAGTAGTAGCAGTAGTGGCAGCAGCAGNNGTCGTAGTAGTAGTCGTAGTAGCAGCAGCAGCAGCAGTAGTAGCAGTAGTGGCAGCAGCAGCAGTCGAAGAGTACTAGCAGCAGCAGCAGTAGTAGAAGTAGTAGTAGTAGTAGTAGTAGCAGCAGCAGCAGCAGTAGTAGTAGTAGTAGTAGTCGTAGTAGTAGTAGCAGTGATAGTAGTAGTGATAGTAGTAGTATAGTGGTAGTATAGTATCCTCGTAGTAGTCGTTGTCGTAGCAGCACCAGCATGCACCACAACAGCGGCAGTGCAGAGCAAGGGCGCGGAGGCAGCGGCAGCAGCAGTATATTATCGTTAAATAGTTTTATGAATTAAGTAAATAAATGAATGAATATATATATATATATCTATCTATCTATCTAACTAACTATGTATATATATATATCTAACTATGTGTATATATATATATCTATATAATAT